AGAGAGAGAGAGAGAGAGAGAGAGAGAGAGAGAGAGAGAGAGAGAGAGAGAGAGAGAGAGAGAGAGAGAGAAGTACGAAGAAATAGATTGACAAAAAGAGTAAGAAAGACAGACGAAACTGAAAATAACCCGTTTGTGAATGAGAGTTATGTTCTCAATTCGTCGTTTTGAGTATCTATGAGTGCCATACCATATGAAGGTTTGTGACGTATGAATTTAAATGTCTGTATATTTGTAAGTGTAATTGTTGATTTTGTGTGTTGGTGTAAACTATACATATGTATGTTAATTAGAATTCTATAAGCGCATTTATCAGTAAATTATGAACTTTGCGCGTCTTTTGTTAGATATAAAGCGTAATTATGATGAAAATAACACAACACAGTAAATTTTCGCGGAGAGTCTCATTCGAAAGTGTTTAATACTACGATCGAACATCAGTAAATGTGTGTGTGTGTGTGTGTACATTTGTGTGCGGCAACCGGTAGATGTGCCGATATTTTGTGAATATCCGATCGTAGTCCGATTGTTTTCAACATCTTGTATAAAGTGTAATTAGCTTATTATAACAACAGAATTAAAAAAGTTAATATCTTAAAAATAAAAAATTAAATAAATAAAAAATGCAATTCTAAATTTACAATTAATGATATAATCCCATTATCATTATGTTCAGTGTAATTATGAATATAGGCAATCCGGGAAGATTTGCATTGTCTCTTCTTCTGGCATTTAATGTAAAAGCGTTGATGCGGGTATTACATAACACCCTGTATATATTTCATATCTAAATAATTTACTCATCTCTGTATTTTGTTTTCATAAAACTCTGATTCCATTATATTGATTGTGCCTGATTGCAATCTCCGCATTAAAAAAAACCATCAAAAATTTTCTTTTGAAAGACTCACGTAACTGCAATGAATAAAAATATGTAAAATTTACGTAAATGAATGATACAATTAAAAATCCATGAGGAAAATGTTGTATCTTCCTATCTTATTTATTATCGAAACTTTAGGAACAATATTCAGAATCAGATTCGGAAGTGAGAGTAGAGAGGCTCAAGTATCTTAAATGTCTTTACATCTCAAGTCTCACCAGATTGCCCTGAAGCACGATTACGTGTACAGAGCTGAGCATTTTTTTTTTACTAAAGTACTTGTAGAGTTTATCTGTTGATACAATCCCAAGGACAGAACAACGAGTACGAGTAATAAAAAAAAAAAAGTTTCTATCTAGATATCTTGCAGCTATATCCTTGCACAGTGGAGCACCATCGAAAAAAAAAATACCATTCTAGTTCTATCGAGATACATATCTATATATTCGTACGAAGGTATATCGAGAAATGGAAACGCTACAACTACTCCGACAGCATCTAGCGCTTGTTCAGCCCTGCGCACAGAAAGTTCACTAAATAGTATACACTATATACTTGTAGAGGTATACACGCGCGAGATAGAGAGTATATGTACGGATATCTCCGGAGTACCGAAAGTGTTCCGATACGGTCGTATTGCTACATCGGTACTCGCGAAGAATCGTTTCTAATTACCTTCTAATAAGCGGCACTTACCCGGAAACGCGAAAACTGGCTCTCTCGCGACTCCCTCCGCTTCTCATCGTCGCTTAAATAGTCGCAGTGTTCTGTATTTTTGCCTCGCGTTATTAAGAAAACTTTTTTCTTATCGCGAAATTAATGTTCCGCATTCGCTCAGCACCAAATTATTTTTATGTTCGTCAGTTTACGACGCAACTATTTCGACAGCGGCGAGAGATTCGCGAATCTCTCCCTCGCCTCCAATTTCGGAGAGCAGCCACGAGGAGCCACCTTTCGCGCGACTCAACTTGGCGAGAGTTTCAAATTAAATCTCGCTTTATTCAGAGTATATTGAGAGCTCGATAAGAGAGGGATGTTTGGCGGTATGTGGAGCCTACCTTCACGCCGAATGCTGCGATCTTCAGTATGCACTCGACAGTGAACATCCCCGTGAAGCACATGTTCATGTACTTCAGCGTGTTCTTGTACGAATCGCTTTGCCGATGGAACTGCAATGCATACACTGACAAACACACGGCCGGACAGACAGACATACGTACGTACGTACAAGCCTAAATCGCGTGTCTCGCGTAAGCGAGACCTTTTACTCTTTGCTTTCTTTCGGCACGACCCTCTTCCCTCCTCCGACCGTCGTGGACGAGGAAGGAAGAAAGCGGCTTTGCCTTCATCTTTTCTTTCACGATATTCTGTGCACCGATACATGAACATTCTGTGCTGCACAATATATACCGTAAAACGGGGCGACCGCACCAGCAGGATTAACACACTGCAATTCGGAATTGCATTTTGTGCCATTAAATATATTAAATTAAATTTATTTACTCCCGTTGATTGTAAATTTAATACAGTACGAAGACCACTGAGAACATAATTTGCAGTTGCGTTTAAAAACGCGAATAATTTTACACAGGGAGTAATCGATAGATAAAAGAAAGGAACTGCACGCGATATTTAATATGGCAAACGCTTTACAACCAAATCATGTTAACATTTCAATAAAATTAACCCTGCTGAAGCATTATTATGCCCTCCATGCTGCCTTAATTGCACCTTGCGCTGTAGAAATTGCGTCAAATACAAGAATAACAATCGTACAATGTCAAAAATAAGGCCTCTCGAGGTAGAATAAAAAAGTGTATAATAAAATTCCAAACAAATCATTACGCTCGAGAATGATTCGCGTCATGTTAAGTGTCAGCTCTTCGGGTGTCACGAATTGGTACACAGTTTAGTCGTACATACGTACAGCGTGTAAGAGATCAAGTGCGAGAAATATATGCAAAATTACGTATATGTAAAAAAAAACGTAGTGATGTATTCGCCATATATATTCGTAGAATGTAGGGGCGGGGAGGGGCGGCATTTTCCTGTCGTTGTAAAAATTGATACGTGTACGAGCCTAATCGGTATGCGTGTATATTTAAATGAAACGTTTGTCCTCTTACATTCCTGCGATATCAATTCGCCTTTCGACGAGTGTGGTGCGTATGTCAACCATATGTGTACGTGGAATACAACCAGTACCATTACCTGCGCTTTTCGCGTTGCGTATCTCTTTGATCGATCTGTTAACGGTGCTATGAGAGATATCGGGCGTGTACTGATGACTAACTGGTCTTCCGGATCAATGGATTTGTATGTCGGGAATTTTCTGAATGATGGACTCCGTCGGACGCAACGACGAGAAGAAAAGAAATCATTTAATGTTACGCAAAAAGAAGTTTCAAGACGACCTCCTCCGCGGGTTACGTCTTGTAAAAAGTCCAGTGATAAGAAAAGAGAGACTTTAAATATATACGAATCTAAAGTATACGTTTTACACGTACTTGTGAATAATCTGAGACGAAAGTGAAATTGAAAGCTAAAAAACGTAAAAAGTAAAATCAAACATAAAATAATTTACTTTTAAATAGTTGTATTAATACAAGCGTTGATGTTTAAGTTCGTCGTTAAAAATAACAGCGTCAGTGGTTGATCCTCTTTCTGCTATTATTTCCCACGGAGTCGTGGACTGTAGGTTGGGGACATATACGAGTCAGTGTCTGAAGAAACTAGCAAAACCGATAAAGACCGTGTCAGAAGAAAGAAAGAAAGAGAGAGAGAGAGAGAGAGAGACAGAGAAACGATCGAAGAAAACGTAAAAAAACAATCGAACAAAAACATTTAAAGTGAATGGATTTCCGGAACGAAAAGAGTGCAGTTCAATTAACGGAGGGATCGTCGGGAATTGCGAAACTTCACTTTTCCAAGTGCTCCGATCTCTTTGCAATCTTCCTTTTCTTTGTGGGGAAAGAGGAGAGGGTGAAACGTGCGAACGTCCCGTGCAGAGTGGTGTTTCTTGTCACTGCAAAACACACACACATTCAGCGGATAACTAATGTTGCTGCTGTTTCATTCATTTTCTAATATCGGTCGATCTGTTTCGGCGGCAGCCAGCATGCGACACGCAATTTTGCACGTGTGTGAGAAATGCGGGTGGACACCTTATATGTATATACATACTATATATATATATATACACATACATCGTATCAGCCGCCGCTATGTCGAACGAGAAGACAATCAATTGCAGTCAAAGTATCGAACTGATTAATTTGTATTATATTATTTCATAATAATGAATAAATTAATATATTATTCATGGTATATCTGAGACAGATATTAAAATGATTAATTTCGTGACTTCAAAGTGAAACATCATACATTAGAGATGAAATTCCTTGTAACTGTAAATCGCAAAATATTGTTACATTGTTAATTATTTCCGTTAATTACCGACGGACATATTTTCAAATAAAATACGAATTATACGTAATCCTGCTTTTATTGATTTTATAAATTTTATGCTTTTATCATTTTCTCTCTCTCTCTCTCTCTCTCTCACAGAACAGTTTCTTTCTCACAGATGTTTTGCTCTGAAAAACTTCAAAAAATACACAAATCGTTTTTTACAGCGCAATAATAAAATATTGTTGTCTCCTCGATCGTGTGCAAGCGTGCCGAGCAATGTGAACACATCGTGTTTTATTTGATATGTGCTCTCAAAACCAGGTGCAGTGCGTGTGCAAGTGATCTGAACATTGAGTTTTTTTTCTCTCAGGCAAACAAGTCCGACCACAAATTTTATAATCGGGCGTTGCATATGGATTCGAATTAGCGTAATGTATACTTGTGTGTGTGTGTGTGTATGCCTCTAAGTCAGGCTCAGGCTGTGATCTCGTTTAAGAGAGACAGAGAAACGAGGGTAGATATTCATCTCGTGCGTTCAACTGTACAAGTTGTAGGAACTGGAAGGCAAATGAAGAAACTCAGAGTACAGTATAGGACTTGGCTCAAGACTGAAAGCGTGCGTGAATCCGTGGTCAGTTCTCTCTCGTCAACGGTGGATGACTGGAAATTGAGAGTGAATCAAATTGAAGACAAAGTCTCACAGAAAATCTACAGCGCGGTAACGATATCTGATTATTGACAATCGGAAAAATTGTAATAAAACAGATAATAATACTCAGGGATTAAACTCTTGATTTGTAACTAGATACAACATTCTATTCAACTGTCGTTATTAATCAAATAAAATAAACAATATAAAGAGAACAATGTAAAAATAGTTTAACAACTATTTGTAATTATTCAATTAAAATTTTATAAGCAGTTTCCTAATAATCATGCAATCATCGTAAAACAGTTTTCATTAGTTTTGTCGTAAAAATTGAATAAATACACTACTTTCCTGTTATATCGAAAAGGCGCCATAAAAAAATGCAACGTCTGTTAATATTACAGTTGTATATTTCTTTGCGACGCTTCCGTTCAGCTAAAATTCCAAGTACTTGATTTAAAGTATAAAAAGAATCATAAAATTAATTTGTTATTTAAATTGTAATATTAAATTAAATTAAGCTATTAAAAAAATTGTGATTATCATATTTTCTGAGAGAGATATAGAGAAGGAAGAATCAGACAGCTTATGGGCAGGGGTGGGTGCTTCAGAACAACACGTGGATTTTCACGTGCAGGGCTTTATAGACGCCGAAAAGGCGCGATCTTGCGGCACCCTGGTTTTCTAAATCAATTATACCAAGCGGGAACGAGTCGAGGTGCAACGCTTTACCCCGTTACCAGTTCAAACATGGTATTAGCAAGGCGAATGCAAGAGTCGAACGCACGTTGTGTTGGTATCGATATATGTGTGGGGATTACACCGATGTTCGAAAACGTGTTCCCTCTTCGCACGTTCTCGAATAAGTCTACTTCGAAGACGAGGGCACAGCGGCAACCATGCAATTGGAATGATGGATCAAATAGAAATGAAGTCTGTGATAAAGGAAAAAAAATAATAAAATATGAAATATTAAGTATGAAAATGCACGAAATTAAATCAAACTAACCGAATAAAAAGAAATCTTTATTTTGTTAATCTTTAAGATATTAAGATGAAGGGAATAAATTTATATTATAAGTAGATAAATCTGTGTTGAAAGTAAAGAAATTTATGCTGTAAGAATTTTTCATTGTAACAATTAAAATGTATAAATTACATATGTATAAAATTGTTTTAATTGCTAATTTTATTTTTAAATGTTGCGATTACTACGTAATTTTTAGATATTTACAGAATAATCGCAATTGATATATTGTTAAACAAAACTCGTGACAATAATTATAAAAAACTGTTTAATATTTTAAAGATTAATTTTGAAGAATCACTAATTTATTGTAAAACTAATTTATCAAATATTGTGAAGCATTGATTTAAAAACACGCAAAATAAATTATCTTAAATTGAATACATTGTATATGAATTACTAATAAAATATGTAACCGAATAAATAACTGAATAAAAAACATAAGATTACTGTTAAAAGATATGCACTGTACGTTAGTCGTTTAAATTACTAAAAATACAAAATAATTTTAGAATTCGGGAAACAAAGTGTAGAAACAAAATCAAACGAACATTATGTCGTTTGAGAGGGAGAAATTTTGCTGCGAAAGTTTCGGGAAACGGGATGAGAGATAAAATTCGACATAGCTGTGTACACGTATTGATAAAATACAAGGGTGATACAGTTATACAGAGAAAACGATCAGAAAAGGTCAGCAGGCAAGAACAACAATGTCCTCGTATATAACGTGATATATAGATATGGTACAGTCATTCGGTATTACATACTTTGCTCGGACACGACATATTCTCGTTTACGATCTCGCGTATCTCCGTTAATAAGAGACGAGACTGTTTGTCGATTGGTTAAAGTTGCCGATAGACCTAACGGGTCTTACGCGCGGATATTGAACAAACGACAAGTATCGCAGGACGCAAAGATAAACGGGCGATACATCGCAATACCAGAACTGAGGCATAAGCAAATTTTTATTCTCAAGTTAAAAAAGTATCTCGGATGCATTTACCTTCTCTTTATGTATAAGGAAGAGAATTCTTAAACCTACTCCAGAATATTTTATTCTGATTTTAAATTAAAAAAAACAAAGAACGCTTTTAGCTGACTAGGGATTCTAAACAAAATAATTTGCATTTATGCCTCCTTCGATTTGTAGTCGCGATATGCGAAATCGAAAACCAAGCTGGCCACGAAGTTCACAAAAATCCTTTCGAACTGCAGCTATTAACGCTCGAAAAAACTTTCATGAATCTTTGTGGTAATATAAGCTTCGTTTACGACAACTCGTATAAGAAGGTTCGTATTTCCGAACACTTGCTTGTTTTCTTACTCGCGTTTCCTACATCGGAACTGGTCGGGGAGAAAAATCGGTAATCTGATTAATAAATCTCTCTAGAGAAATTGCAGTGCAAGAGAGAGATCGTGACACTTACCTTCATCATAAGCAGTAACGTGTTTAATACGATGAGTATCATGATAAAATATTCGAATGGCGTGGACACGACTATCCTCCAGATTTTGTACTTTACGCTATTCCGCTCCTTTGGCATATACCTTTCGAGCGGGCGAGCTTGTATTGTAAAGTCCATACATGATTTCTGAAAGATTAACACGGAATTATTAATGTCCATGTTGACGCCGGTGAAATTTCATATGAGCGTGTGTATTGTTTAAAATATGGCGGAGGTTAAAAATGAAAATGAAGAGAAAATTAAAACACAAAGGGACAACAAGATATCTATGTTTAATATACTTAAAAGAAGAATCTGATTTAAATAAATTTGTACGTACACGTGGAAGTAATTATTTTATGAATGTATAATGATTTTATATATTTATTTAATGTTTTTCACCTTTGAGAGTGCTGAAATTTTAATGACGTTTAAAATGACACTTCACATTGCTCTAAATTTACGCAAATCTTTTAGACAGCCAATGAAATATAGAGCGCACATAAAACCGATTTCGACGAGGGGTAAACCGCTGAGGGCATTGTGGTGTACAGATTTGCGGCATTACTAGGCATGTTTGGGGCATTATAAAGATAAAACAAGATAAATAGGATAAAATAAGATGATAAGATAAAGTAATGCCCATCGGGCATTAGTAGGCATTGGTGTACATCAGTTTGGTTTACCCCTCGTTTTTTTCGAGTGTAAAAATAGACGCAAGACATTACCTGATTCTTATCAATTTCACCGTCCTGCAGTTCAGCTTCTCCCTGCTCTTGGAATGTGATGATAATCAAGGCCACGAAGATGTTGACGAAGAAGAATGGAAAGACGATGAAGTAGACGATGTAGAAAATGGACATTTCGATACGAAAATTCTGAATGGGGCCCTTGTCCTCGTACGTGGCCGCCATCGAGTTCTGCAGGATCTGCGGCCAGCCTTCGCCGGTCTGGACGGCAAACAGCGTCAGCATGGCCACCATCACGTTGTCGTAATGAAAGGACTGGGAATCCCATTTCCGTTGCTTGAGCTCCGGTAGCATATTACCCTCCTCGAAAACGAAGAATTGACCGCTGTCGCGAAAACGAAAATTACTATCCATTTCTACTCGCACCATTTGTAAAAAATGCAATTTGAGAATAAGAAGCAACGAAGAACTTTTTTGCAGTTTCTGCCATACTCTTTGTAAAGATTTACTTATTATTGTGTTACTTATCGAGACCAACGTTCCAATAACTGTTAACTATTTTAATATATTTATATGTATTCTCTCTACAACGCTCTTCTCAATAGGTAGAAGCAAAGAGGCATCAAATCAAATAGCATACTCACTTGCAATCCGCTTTCGTATACTTGCTCTCGTCGGTGCAGTGGAAGAACTTGCCGTTGAACAGCTGCACCGCGATCACAGCGAAGATGAATTGGAATAATATATACACTATGAGAATGTTAATGACATTCTTGAGACTGTTCACCACGCAGTCAAACACTGCCTTGAGCTTCGGCACGCGTTTTATTGTCTTAAGCGGCCTGAGCACTCGCAGCACTCGCAGCGACTTGATGGTCGAGAGATTCTGGCCGGCCGAGCTGCCGGTCATGTCGAAGGCGAACGACACCATGGCGCATATCACTACGACCGCGTCCATAACGTTCCAGAACTCGCGCAGATACGAGCCCGGGTGCAGTATGATGCCGAGGTCGATGATCTTCAGCACCATTTCGACGGTGAAGACGCCGGTGAACGCATAATCGAAGTAATTGAGGATCGTGTTTCTCGGCGCGTGCTCCCAAACGGGATCCTCGGCGGCCAGCGCAATACTCGACAACGATATCACCACCATTATGAAAAAGTCGAAGTACCGAAGGTTCACGACCCAGTGGGCGGCTCTTCTTATGCTGCAAACAGACAGTCCCGTTATTCCGGCAATCATCTCGTTCTTAAGAAATGAGCAATAGGCATAATTGCTAGTGAAAAGTAAGCCGTGCCTTTCGATTTATGTGCAAGTGGCTTTATTCATTTAATAACATTATGATTTAAGACGTTTCGTATTCTTCGTGAGAATATCAGCGCGATCGGATTATTATTACTTACGGATTCGTAGGGGACAGTATAAACATGGAGGAGTATGGCAGCATTGGTTTTGGTCCCGTGTCGTCGTCTTCATCCTGCCTCCTTTCTTCGGACGTCTGGGTTGCAATTCTTCCGTCTCTGCTGGAAAAGACGAGACGTCGTTCTCCACTCTGTGCCTCTCCACCAGTATTGCTTTTTACATTTTTAATTTACATTTTTTAATTTATCTACATATATTGTCGATTTCTTTTACTAAACAATTACGATTAATTATTTCGTTTTTATTAGTCTCGTCTAAACTTAAGATTTACACCGAATCAGCAAATTTATGTCAAAGCTTCTGTGAAATTACTTATTCTGTCTTGCACAGAAATCGCAAACAGAGATTTGAGTTCAAGAAAAACGACTTCTTGCAAATTTAATCAGCCCATCTTTCAAATTATTCTTTTATATGTAAATTTATGTCCTTATACATATGTGCATATAAGCGAAATGTCGAAAGATTTTTCTGTTACACAAAATACGTGAGAGTATATCATTTAAATTTCAAATACAGAATCTTCCATAAAGAAAGATTATCTATCACGACTCATATTTATCATAAAAATAATAAAAGTAACTGTAACTTCGTTACGAGTAACGAGTTACTTCCGAACCCTGTAATTCGCTGTAAATTATAATATATTATATTCGACGCGATTAAAGATGAGAATTTCCACGAATACGGCGAAAGAGCAGGAAGACCTACAAATTCTGGGTTGGACTTGGAGGGCAGATTTCCACTCTCGGTGCGTCTCCGGGCCTCTGCAGCGACTCGATCTCCTTCTCGAGCTCCTGCAGCTGCTTCTCCTTGTCCTCCTCCTTCTGCTCCTCCTCGGCGGCGCTCAGCTCTTGCGCGTTCGCGAGATTGTCGACGGCGATAGCCAAGAAGACGTTCAGCAGAGTGTAGTTGCCGAAGAGCACCAACACGATGAAGTAGAGCGAATGGGCCATGCCCTGCGACTCGATACCCCTGTACATCACTTCGTTCCAGTCTTCTCCAGTTAGGATCTGCATCATTATCATCATCAATTATTATTATGAGTCAGAATATTCTAAGGACATCTAATTTCTATCAGTGGACAATACACATTTACTCTTAATAAGATCTTCAATTTCCACTGCATCTAAAGTATGAACTATACTTCCACATCGTATATTTAATTTTTAGCTATATTATAAAATCGGTATACGAATTGCATGTCATATATCGGTTATCTTTCAAAGACCAGCGAGACTATGAAACGGATACTTTTCTCGCCAACTGTTCTTAAGCGCTTAAGAATAATTCAAGCGTATATAATGTAATATAAAATTAAGTTAAAATTAGGATACATACTTGTTAAAGCCTCGAGCATACAATTTATTTACAATACGGCAAATAAAACATTCATCATCTTTTACAATATTCCCATATTTAAGTTCGGATTGAATATCAGTGTCTTAGAGATGAACAATGTTCAATCACATTTGTTTTTTGCGAAAACCACAGTTTTTCGAATCAATTTGTCAAGCTGATTCAAAACATAGTAGAACCGTGATAACGTTTATTGTACTTACTTGGAAGACAGTGAGTAGTGCGATGGGAAAGGTGTTGAAGTTAGTGGGCGGCGTGCCGTCATCAAAGTTGAATTGGCCGCCAAATAGCTGCATGCCAAGCAGCGCGAATATGAGGATGAAAAGGAAGAGCAGGAAGAGGAGAGAAATGATGCTGCGCATCGAGCTTAGCAGCGATATCACGAGGTTCCTCAGGCTCTTCCAATATTTGGTGACCTTAAAAATTCTCAGGAGTCTAAGGGCACGTAGGACGGAGAGGCCGAAAGAGCCGGACTTCCACGCGGACCAGATCACCTCGAAGATCGAGCCCAAGATGACTATGCAGTCGAAGCGATTGAAGCTCGACTCGAAGTATGTGCGAGGACCGAGCGCGTAGACTTTTATGAACATCTCCATCATGAAGAGGCCCAGGAACACAAACTCTGCGTAGTCTGCGAATAAAAAGAGACCGATTAAAACTTCTGGGACTCTTTTTAACTCTCGAGCAAATTTGACCATTTTAGATGTAATAAGTTTTCGTCCAAATCCTTCAGGTCTCAGTGGATTTACTGTCAAGTTATCTTAATTGAGTTTTTACGCGCTATGTGAGCCATTATACAATAGCAATTAAATTAAAATTCAATCCTGCAAAACTCACAGAGGAAATCGGTGAGCCACTTTGGCTGATCGTAATGCTCGACGGCCACGCAGACGGTGTTGAAGAACACAAGAACGATGACGAACCAATAGAACTGCTGCGACTTGACGGAATTGCGTATCCAAAACCTGAACCTCTTCTCGGCCCGCCAAAACTGTAGGCACGTGCCCTGCTTCTTCACCTTCGACTTGAAGTAGGAGGTTCTCGAGAACCCTACAAAGCATAAAATACTTTTTCAGCGTGAAATACAATCGAGACACTTAGAACACGTTTTACAGACCAGTCGATTGTTAATTGAACGGCGCCGTACTTTGATTTTGACATAAGTCACATAATTTTCGGTTGACTTAAGACCTTTTTACACTATGTCTACGTCTTTACATTTTATGCTACTTGCTAAGCTATTTCTGCGATTGGGTGAGTTCAAGGATCCGGATTACACGATCCAAAGTATGATGATCTATATTAACTTAAAATTCTTTCAAGTCTTTGAGCGTTGCGAATAATAACATTCTTGTAGAAGTTTTGGGGGAGAAAACGCATATTATGGTGAGAAAAAAATCAAATATTTCTAGAATCGTCTCATATATCGACTGGAAAAGTTGGAAAATTTCATTTACCTCCGGTTCAACGAAATGTAGGTATAAAAATAGACATACAAAGTTCTATACTAAATTACTCTACCAAGCGGTTACGACTATGATATGACGATGCGTATGTATTGGCTACGTTAGTTATATACTATGTGTGGACTATGTGTCGACAGGCTGAGATTAGCCTATCTGTCAAACTCTATAGGACGGGATTTGTACACTACTCAAGGGATTCAATTTCTCGTTTGACAATACTAAGTACTCTACTATTCTGTCAGCTTTAACTAGCTAAAATTATAATCCTATAAGTCCAATAATAAAAACATTATCAGTATTCCATTGTCACATCGTACACCTAAACAGTGTAGAAATATTTCCGCCGGAAACACTGGCACTTAATCGTGACGTTATTATCCTTCGTTTATCCAAATTTATCTCACAGTAATAGAAAAACTATTAGATGTTGCAATTATTATCGTAGAAGAGCTGTTGTGTACATTGGAAGATAAGAAATTCGGGATGATGGAATAATATTTTATCTTTCTTAAAAAATAATTATACATATATTGTATATAGTTATATTATGTATCTATTGTATCCTGATTCAATTGCCTGAAAGAAAACTTCTAACAATTTTCGTGCGAATGTTTCCGGTCTCAAAGAAAATCTAATATTCATATATCACCACACCAGCTAATAGAAGCAATACCTAAAAAACCAAAATGAATTAGCTCCCGAGTTCTCCGATCTCCGTCTCTCGCGCAAGGTCCGCGTGATTTCGAGTGATACATATCAGCCACAAAGTCAGCAGCAAGTCGTCCGAATAATTACATAGAATGCAATAATTACATCCTCTACCACGAGTAATCACAGCCTGCGATTTTAATACGATAAATAATACGTGAACTAGCTATAGGACAATCATAGTTCATCTGAGTGTGTAATGCTTTGCCAGTTTATACTTTTACGCGCGAGCAGCGAGTGATAATTTTGTAATACGTATATTAAGATCTCTGCGTAATTTTTTAATATATACAACGTATAAAATTAATTTATTAAAATTGTATAACTGTCACAAGTGAGCATTTGTACACAAGTAACATTTTTGCATAAAAGATGTTTAAATATTTAATTAATTTTTCACCATTGTTCTTTAAAAGTTTATAACAATAATTTTTAATTAGATATCGACAATATAATTGATAGACTCAAATAGTTGAAACAATACGTATGCGTGAAGAATATCTTCAAGTAGAAGTAGGGCTGTCAATAGAATTATCTAGATCCATTATTACTTATTGAACTGCGTTTCAATGCGGTCAGATTATCTTATGTATGTTTAAATGTAACAGAACATAATTAATATATCCTGTATACGTGAACAGGCATCAAGTAATTCGTTTATTAAGCGGTAGCCTGAATCTAATTATGTACTTGTGATTATGTACGCACGACATTACTTGTACGTGTGTGTATTATCAACGAAAAATTCTCTCAAATGAAAATACAAAAATAAAACAATTATGTAAGATTACGAATACAGCCTTATTTTACGTAGCTCTTTGCGAAAAGTCGTGGCATTCACGGTTGTAGTTACCTTTGAGCTTTTTCTTAGGCACTGAAACAAGAGGAGCATCTGATAGCGTGTGTTTAGAATATTCATCAGCAAAAATTAGAAGAAGATAATTTTCAGCGTCGTTCAGTTCTTTTCTTTTCCTCTCGATACGAAAGACAAATCAGGCATGAACCCACAAGGTGTTAACAAATACGTCGATAAACGTGAAAATAGGGTAACGTGCCAATAAATGGAGAAAAATTTTAGAACGAGAGAAAGGGCCAAAATCTCGAGCCAACGATTTCCTTTGTACCATATAAATTCTCGGAAACTATGTTGCAAAGCTTTTATATTTCCCAGGCACAAAATTTTATTCTCAGCTAATTTTATGGATCGCAAAACTGTAATACCAACCGTAAGCCAATAATTTAAATAAAATTTTTGTAAATTAAACGTTTTTCTAAATTTCATTCAATTTGCCCATCAACTTCATCCTTCCAGAGAAAATCGTCGGTTGATATAACATAGGTTCTGACTACTAAGAAATCGTGAAAACCCTTACTACTTGAACTTGGTCTCGATTTCGCAAGTTCGTCTGAATAATCTGAAGGAGAATTATCAACTCGAAATATAAAAGAGATGAACAAGAAGAGAATACTTGGCACAACTGGACACCAAGTTGACCAAATACAACTCACCATCGTCCTGGTCGTCCTCGCCCTCCTCTTCTTCCGTGTCGGTGCTTTTGCTCTTGCCAAGATTCTTTAGCTTCTTTTTCTTTGCTGCCGCTCTTCTTCTTACTGCGCAATACAAAGAGATAGATTAAGCCACGCGAGCATTTTTTTAAACTACAACTTACTTTTTCACTACTAAAAACATATAAATTTCCGATCGAAAATCACTGATAGAATCACGAAAGAATCGCATTTACAAAATGCTGTAAAATAATCATAGCAACTTTCACGATCCCATAAGATGCCACTATTACAAATTTACATACAACATATGCAAGCGTATCGCCAGGAAAAAAGGATGACTTGTCACGTGTAAAAAAAACGAAAATTAAATCGATACTCCCGAATATCGTTAAATCAACTGTTAATAAAATTAAAATGGTGAAATATGGGGATGCCTTGTTCAAGAATATGGCGTCCAATGCATTTTTAGTGTGGAAAAAAATTGAAATCTATTCGGCTGCGCCGAAAGAAATGCTAGTCACTCTAAGTGCATTCTGAGTACTCGGTGCACTCTATATAAATATGTACGAGCACGTTCCGGAGATACAGCTCGCTTCGCAAATCTTTTCAACTTTACGGAATAAATATTCATAATATCAATATACGTTGCGTTATATGGACCTTCTAATATGTGCATTTTCTCCTCTTCCGTGGTCCTCTCTTCGGCAAGTATCACCTCCTCTGAAAAGTAAATATTACGTATTAGCAGTAATTCATATTACACGCATATTTTTATTTATACGAAGAAGCGACTCGTGACGAAGCGAGTCTAGCGTACGCAATAAGCTGTAAATATCGCAGGCACCTTGTTAACAAAATAAGTGAATTAAAATAGATTGACAAGAGAATATATACGTTTGAGGGATTTGAAACGTCTTGTTTGAAAAATATACAAAGTTCTCACGAAACAAATTCCTGTTCAGTCCGTTTTTTTAATTCACTTGTTTCTTCTACGGCATTTGATCTAACCTGCTTTGCAGATCCAATTGAGATAACAATTCAGTTCGCGCTCAAGCTGCTGCTGTCTTCGCAACTTCAGGAAGGTCTGCCGGTTCTCCACCTTCTCTCTCTCCTTCGCAAACTCTCTACAAGCGTGATACAGATGACATGGCAGCTTACTCAGGAGCATAATGGTTAAGTTTAGCAAAGGACTTTCTGGCATTCCGCCGTGAATAATCTAGCGATACTGCCTTGTTTAATAAGCCAACAATATTTACTCATTTAAGGTGAACGCCATTAGGAGTGACCAAAAAAAATTTTTGTTTTCCTTGCGCGACACTCTTTCGCGAGATTACTTCAAACTAGCTTACGCCATGGGAGCCACGTACCATACGCGGGATTCTGGTAAATTTATTATTACTAATTACTCTCTTGCATACGCGTTACTTTCTCTCAATCAGAGATTTAAAAGATCTAACTTGAATTAAATAGACGAGCCAAAAATTGCCTAAAAATTCATATTTCTCTATGAATATACTAGTGTTTGCATCGTATTCTCATCGCGTATTCAGCATTGTACAATTCCGAATTCTTTTCGTACTCGTCAAAAAGCACACACTCTTATACACAACATTAACTGCAAATACGATATAAATATACAGATTAAATCATAATTAAGAAATTTATAGTAAATTTTTAAAATAAATATTGATAAGATTATTAACTAATCGTTACAATAATTATATTTAAATGATATATTTGATTTATTTTATATTTCTGGCCACAACAGTTGTGCTAAACACGCTAATAGAATACGGTTTACTGCATACTAATGTTAGGCAACGTCTGCTAATTGAAGACCTGCTTGGGTGATCCATTTTAAGTAGGAACTGAACGCAGTGGTGAAGAGTCGTTTGCTCTTCGCTTTCCGATAAGCCGCCCGCCGTTCGACGCGCGTTCTTTCGTTAGAAAACTCCCTGACGATGAAAGAAAATCATTCTGAAGTAATGGACCTCGCGGATCTTGCCGGATTGGAGACGTGACTTCAGAAATTGTCTCTGGGCGGAAAGGCCGCGGGATGCTGTCGGGATGGACATACTCACCCGCTCAAGACACCAAGAACTAAGTTCAGCATGAAGAATGATCCGAGGACGATCAACGGTATAAAGTAAATCCAGTTGTACGTGCTGCCAAGAGCGTCGTTTGTCTGCAAATTCGATCAGAATCGATATGAAGAGAGCAACGTCGCGTACACACATATGCACCGGTTACACAGGCCGAAGGTATATTAATTAACGGCAAAAGAACGTTATATGCGACACAGAGGCACTGGCACTGTAATCTCGCTGCGCCAAACGCGACTATGATAAATGTGATCGCCCGAGTGTGAGGGCTCGAATTTATATTTATCGTTATTCGATAATATTCATTTCCCTTCACAAAGAAGAATTTTATCCGGCACGAAGGGAAAGATTTCATCTAGAAAAAATATCGCGGATTGAAAATACGTGTCGATCACATTTACGCAAGATAACGTCAGCTTTGTGAAACTTCAATATTGCTAGGGGTAACCCGTGGAAAAAGAATACGAGAGAAACGTGCCAGATTTTTAACTGACCTAAGACTACTCACTACATCCCTTCTCTAATCGCTACACCTTATCTTAGAAGAAGAATATATAAGTACTCAGATACCTGACACGTCGACTACCATCCATGACGAACGTTATTGAAATGTTTTTAAGTGTTTACAGAAAATAAATGCCATCTAATACATAATTTTGAAGAATTGTAAATAGTCGGATGACAATGTAAAATAAAGTGCTCACTACTCAACGCGTTATTCACGGAAAGAAAGTAATCATTATTCAATCATATTACACGATTAATATTTTATCATTATATGCTTACGATAATAAGAATTCTGTAATATACACAGTAAGATGTACAGAACTCACTAGACAGGCGACATGTTGAGGCATATCGAAATTTACAGTCCAAACACTATACTAGATCTGTTTGAGAAAGTAGTTTCGAAACATGGCAGTTTCTTCCGACTGATGTTTTACCGCGGGTTACCCTATTACAAAACTTGATGAGGCAATCGGGGATTTTTTCGAAATCTCAGTAAACCAATTAACAATTAGTGATCTTGTTACAGCCGGTGGAGTCACAGTCGAAGGGTTTCGGGGTTATTTACAGCGATATATAACAATAAAATGTTTTAAAATCTCCCCTCCGTGAACCATCGACTGAACATTAACCCTTTCGTGATCAGCGGGAGAAATGTGTTCCACTAGTAACTCTTCTTTCTTACAAATTACGCATTTAGCTCGTATTCTAGCGCTAGAAGACTAAAAACCTGTACTTGGTTCTATTTCTAAAAGGGCTAAAAGAATTTAATTCTGTCACGAAAGGGTTAAGCACAATAAGAAGAGGTATAATTAACATCGAATATTGAAACATCGAAAAAAAGAGGGCTGGAATTGACAGTGTTATACTGAGCAAGGTAAACATATACGTCAGTGTTAGCTGCTTTCCGCAAGGCATTCTTTATCCGAAAGCCGGCAAATTCGGCTGAAGCCGAACACAGAAAGGGGGCGAAAATATAGTAAGTACATCGAAATTGATCAGCAATTAATTGCGAAAGAGGAAGAGACATTTAGAAGCAGATGAAAAGGAGTACACGTATTGAGGCAGTTTGATACAACATGATAATATCTTCTCTCTTCTGGAAGGGTGAATTGACGAGGAGAAGTGTTATAGTTTTGTACAAAAATAAGATACGCGCGCAAATCGCGAAGCGATTGATAAAGGGTCGACACTGGGCAACAACATTCTATGGAAACACAGATATTTGAAAATGTTCGCTACCGCATCTTTCGTGTAACGATAGGATAAATCGTGCGCGATAACGAGAGGGCCAAGTTTTTAGCAGAGAGAGGAAAGAACGAGCGAGAAAGTGAGGGAGGCGAAGGCAGAGAAAGAGAGAAAGAGATTACGGTAACAGATAAAAAGAGAAAAGAACTTTTTAACACTGAAGAACATATTTCTTGCTTTACCCAGTACAATATGGCAGTCCAGCCCTCCATAGTGATACACTGGAAGACAGTGAGCATGGCGAATCCGATGTTATCGAAGCTGGTGATGCCCGAGTTTGGTCCCTCCCAGTGATCCATGCACGTCGAGACGTTCGCGTCGCACACGTGGGCCCCGGGCGGGGCATCATTTTTGTTGTCTGCACTACACGGGCTCGGCTGATCGCCCTCCTTTATGATTATACCTGCAACGTCCAACACTGTAGAACATCTCAAGTATATTAACGCCAGCTGTCTAAAGAGCCCAAAGATTGAAATATATATTATATCTACTTTTTTTTCTAAATAATCACGAACACAAATTATATTTTCGTACACTTGAAGGTTTTCGCAGATCTTTCAATCCTTCGTGTGTAAATAGAGGAATAATTAAAATTAAGCGAGTAATATTATAAGCAGCGGTTTGGACAAACGTTCCGAGAAGCTCGGCTAACTTTCGAATACACTCACTGATGTCCTTTATACTGTAACACGTTTTATGCAGGGTTCCCGAATAAAACTCGAGGCCGATGATGGCGAATATCACGATGGCGAAGAGTACCAGCAAGCCGATCTGCAGAAGCGGCGCCATCGCCTTGATGATAGACTTGAGCACCACCTGAAGACCTAAGTGGCAAAAAAAAATCACCGAGGAGTAATTAGGCCCAACCACCGTTCCTACGGGATCGATGTGGAATTCTATACTCCGATTTCCGTGCATTATTGTCGTTGCTTATTGCTCGAGAAATCACACATGATGTTTTTTTATACAAAGATTCATATTTGTTGAAAAACGGAGATCAGCCTCTAATAAAAAATGGAACAATATTTCTGCCTGTTTTATGGCAATTACAATAACGACTTACGAAGTTATCGAAAAGATCACTGTCTGGTTCTTATAATATTCTGTCGTAAAAGTTGTTTTAAATTTTAGAATGTCTCAGAATTAATCTAGAATCAATTTTAAAAGGCACGCACTTGATGCCACTCGAAATGATTCTGAATCTAAGACTAAGGATTAGGATACCTCCGCCGTATTTAAATACAACATCGAGCTCTCAGTAGTGCCTATCTGAGCAATACTACCAACATAAAATGAACGATCGATCTAATTCGACAGAAAGCATTCTACGGGCGATAAATAAGTATATTTGCGAGTAAATGTAAAACTAACTCTGGTCTACTTGACTTCGTATGTCTGTTAATTCGCTCCTTGTCAAATCTAGTGTAGCCACTATTCGAGAAATAAGTATTCTCGACGGCGGATCGTGCTCGATCTTCGAGGTACCCAAATCTCAGACACGAAGGCGAAGTTTCGAGTCGTAGGCATCCATTATTCATTATATCAAGTAAATTTTCTCGAGCAACGAGATCGCACTTTTGTCGCACGTTTAGCGCCAAATGTATTTGAAAGAGATGACGTTTTACGTCTCTAACATTTTTCGAACTGGCGCCTGTATTATTCAAACATGCGCACGTAATAGCAATGGAATACGGGAGTAAAATGAAGCAGCGCTAAATGTGCTTTCAGCCCGCGCTCACACCTTCGTCCAATACCGCTAATGCACACCCGGCGATAAAGTTAATGTGCGATTAACGCATTCGAAACAAATGTAAACTTCATTTAAATAACGAACTTTCGAAACAACCACTGACGCTGGGCACAAGGTGTGAATACGGGCGTCTATTTCGCGCGCTATGTACGACGGTCTCACGGGATCTCGTTTACAACGGGGCTCCCCCGGCAACGCGAGACTCCTTTGGTTTTTCCCTCGAGCCGAGCAGCCTCGAGTACGAAAAATTCGATCGCTTTCCAATCTGTACTGGTGCGCTACTCACTCGGTATGCCGGAGACAAGTTTGAGCGGTCGCAACACGCGTATCGCACGCAACGTGCGCAGATCCATTTCCAGGTGTATGCCTTGCGAGAACGCCGTAATGATCCTGCCCCAAAAACACACACACCCCGCCAGACTTTACTACTTACTACTCTATTACACTAATACTTACGCTACTCTTAATTACTTAGACTACGTCCACTAGATGGTTAACTAGCGTTCTCTCTAGCCTAACCCGGGGAGATAGTGCCATCAGAACGATCGGGTGGAATTTTTGTATGTGGAAGATCAAAGAACTCTGATGAATTCAATCTCGTGGGCGCAAAATAGATGTAAACAGCTATCTATAGCAGAGAATCTCTGTCCGTAAATGTATAGATGTAAGGTGGGGGCGGAATGAACCTTACAATTTAACAAGAAGGTCCAATATTTAATTTAAAAATATATATACATGGAAATATATAAGAGATTTAAAAAGGGGGGGGGGGACACTTTATCTCGATATTGCGGTTAGGCAAATATCTAATCCGCATATTTTTCCGAGCTTCCTATATTCTTTAATATATAAATCTCAATTTGAAAGAAATCATATAATCTCTGCTGTTTTCATTATTTACTTTAACATGATACTTTTTTAAGAAATATTATTAGAGCATCTCGATGTACAATAACAATTTTAAGTAGTAAAAATAACTGATCGTGAGTTGTTGGCTTTTAAGGTGTATCTGAAAGAATGTAGTTTTCTCTATTTTATGAACTTAATGCTATGTTAAAACATAAATGATCTGACAGGATAGGGCAATGTTCTACTGAAAAGAGCGCCGCAAAGGATTGACGTATAAGTGTGTAAACGTATCTATGTATGTACGTATAACTCTCTAGACTATGTAAAATACTGTATATCTAGGTCTAGGAGAATGTAAAACGCTGGAACGAGCTAGTGATAGTGACTATAATCACGTAAACTCGCGGCGCTAGTTTCTCGAAGATATCAGTTCGCCGTACGGTCATCGACCGTCACTTATCTATTTCTGACTCTCGCCAATAGCAGAAGCTTTTCGAAAAGAACCGCCACGATCCAGAGGAGATATTATTGAAGCTGTTAGGTCTTTTTCACACTGCTGGACAGCAAACGCCAAAACTCCAGTTTCAATTCTCCATTTTGAACAACTTTATAAATTTTAATATTAACATGATACGCAAAGGTAAGTGCTATGTGCACATAATTAATTCTCTTTCGTTTGATTTGTCTTTTTGCCAAACGAAAATAATTCAAAGGTACATAAAAAAAACATTCGAATTAAACCCGAAAGTATCATCTTAAATATCCTTAATATGAAACAATAATTAAATCAAAAGTGTTTTGCAGCAATTTTCAGTGCTACAGTCTTTCTAATTTTAAAGATAGAACCGAGGACAGAGATTTATTTCAGTCTTGAAAATGGATCGTGTAAGTAGTGAAGATCATAAAATAAGAAATGGATTTCTACAACTAAATATCTTTAATTACGATTTCATGAACACGAATTCTTCTCTTCATTAAAGTGAGAAATAAACCATGTGCTCTAAATAGTAAATGCGAGAACACCACTGTAAATGACGCTAATGACAAAAATTATGAACAAACGGCTAGCTGTAATATCGGCAGAAGCGAAAAGAGCTAATCCTAGCAATGTATGGAAATCGGAATAGCGCGATCATCTTCTAGAATTATGAATGCTCGCAAAGCAATCCCGGTCTGTCGTGAATTTCTAAGGGAACTTTTGACGGACCCGCTGTTGAACACGTTATCTGCTCTAGGACACGTATCCACTTAACAATGTATAGTCGGCTCTATTATTTAGCGCAACTGCAGCTAAAGATAGCAAATCGCTAAATATACCCACTCTGTGGGTCGTTACTTCTGTGTGCGTGTGTGTGTTTTCTCTTTTTTTTCTTCCCTGTCCACTTGTTTGTGAGTGCGCATCCTCGGTGTACGGAATTGGAGACGATTGACTCCGAAATCGTTATCGTTACGTTCCGAAAAGAAAGCATACGTTCGAAAAAGACTAGCTACTGATTAATAAATAGATTTCTTTTTGTGCAGACACGATCCAAATTATATCCTAACATTTAAAGAGCATAATGGTTAATTTAAATCTTAAATCGACGACTAACAGCGCTTAGACTGCTCTCTACTTCATTGTTCTACACACACAGAACGAATTAAAATTCTTACAGAGTGCCTAGGAAATGTAAGAAAAACTAACGTGTTATCTCACTTACATTCTATACTGTTGCAAGAAAACGTAACTATGAAATAGATATCTTCATCACATTTAGTGATTATTATCGTCATTACTTTTCGAAAATATAATACAATTCTTCGTGTTACGTGTATTAACAAAAAATTTAATCAAACAAATTTTGTTGTGAAAAAAATAATTTGTGTTATACACAAAAATTTAATCGTTTTATATTTATATGTAAACTTAACATTTTCACAAAGAATTTATTTATATAAATAATATTTCTGTGTATTTTAAATTTAAAATGTATTAAATTGTACACACGAAGAGAATTTTCTCTTAAAATTCATCCTGAAAATCGCGTAATCGCGGGACAATACGGCATTTCGAAGAATTTAATAAGAATTCTTTTTAATTTTACCATACATTTTACTAGTAATTCTACTCAGTATATCAACTAGTAAAATGTATGGTAAAATTTGAGAAAACTCTCATATAAAGTTGTTCAAAACGCCACGTTGTCCCACGATTACAAGATTTTCAGGATAAATTTTACAAGAAAATTCTCTCCGTGTACAGATCTAAACTGATCATAAAATCTAATCGCTAGTTCACGCAAATCCTTCTATAAAGAAAGTGGAATATGTATATCTAGACGAGATACCTAGAAATACAATGTAGACACACACAGAGAAACTATAAAAATTCATATATAATAATGTATATAAATATATATCTAAATTATATATTATCCAACAAGTATCGATCATCAACTGTGAGCTAACTTTACCCATCACCAAGTCTAACTTTGTCAACTGGTCTAAGACACCCATAGCCTCTAAGCGAAGGTTAGTAAAAAACGTACGACGTCATATTACGCAAGTAGAAAACTAACGCAGGAGGCTAGAAGGACGGGAACTATGTAATAATGTATAGATATATAGACAAGTTCAAGTCGCTGTTGCTCTCGCTTGCCAGAACTAGACGTCGTACCAGGTATAACTAAAGCAGCGGAATCGGCCGAAACTGAAGGGATCGAGCTAAGTTTCGGCGTCGGAGAGACATTAAAACTATGTTTGCAACTATTGAGAATCGCACACACAGATTGCCAGGAGAGACACAATGTGAGGAGAGGGGGGGTGGGAAGGTTGAAGGGGAAGACGGAGGGCTGGGTCTTTTGCTGCTCGACTTGTTAGCTCGACTTGTTACTGGCAGGAGTTCTCTCTTTTGGGTGTTTGTTAGACGCTGCTGTTCTTTCGCAGAACTCTGACTGACTCACTTGGAATTTTCGAAACCAGCTTTAGCGGTCTGAGGACCCTGAAGGAACGTAGCATACGCAGGTCGACGTCCACGTTTGTTTCGGCGAACACGGTCATCGACCTAATCCAAGGATCACTCTAGAATCTATCTGGCCAACGGATATGGCGATCGGCGTGTTTCCTTAATTCCTACAGCTGAAGAAACCGGTTTCCGGACTACGTTGCCAGTGTACCATAATTTTCCAAAAGATTAATAACGGCATCAACGCTGTCAAAACTAGGTTTCATCAAACAGCGCTTATATACATTAGTTTTTAACAAATCCGTTGTAAAATTGTACACGCTATTAAAATTTCTAGAGCTATAATACATCAATGTAAAAAGAAGAAATAGTTTCTATCGCTCTGCCTTCTTACGTAGATTTCAAAATATGTCAAAATGCTGCTGTATATTAGGTACAAGTTATTAATTATGCCTGCAAGGCATAAGTGTCTCGTTTAGCAATGTTAGTCAAACCGATTCCTCCAACATCTTGTTTCCTCATAAGGATGTAATTAGGGAAAGAGGTTTATTTTGTCGCTCACTTTGGCCGCAAATTAATTAATGGGTGAAACAATGTTTGTCTCTCTTCAATAATCAATATTAATGATCTGTCCTATATTTTATGTGAGTAATGTAAATGTACGAGTATATAGGAGAATGTAACAATATGCAAGTTCAAACGGAAAAGTTACACTTTCATGTAAATATCGTGATGGTAATATTATTCTATGGAATGTTTCGGCAAGAGAAAGAATTGACAATCTCGGGAAGCCTTCTTTCTCCAGGAACGCGTGAAATGTATGCAGAACGCCGATAGAAGATCCGGATGGGAAAAACCAGGAAGTAGAATGAGGAGAAACGAAAGTGGACGAAGGGAAAGACTTTACTGACAATTAAGCGTCGGACTCTCACCCGGTCACCACGACGAAGAAGTCCATGATGTTCCAGATGTTGCGCAGGTAGGAGCCGCGGTGGAGGACGAAGCCGAGGGCAAGGATCTTGAGGCTCGCCTCAACGCAGAAGATCCCGAGGAAGTAGAGCTCCGTGGCCTCGAGCTTCTGCGCGAGTGTGGTTTTGTCATCCTTCGGCAGGTGCTCTTCGAGGGCGAGGACCACGCAATTGGCGATGATGGTGAGCAGGACGGCGTACTCGAAGGGCGGCCACTCGATGATGAAGCGCGTATACTTCCGTACGTAATTATCCTCCGAAAAGATGAACAACGATGTGGTGCCCCTGCCGCCTCCCCCACCGCCACCTGCCCCTCCACCCTGATCCCGGCCTGGCGCCATGTCCACCAGACCAGGTACCTGAAAGCGCCGGTGTACTGCTCAAGAAACTTGGAAGACACGATGGACTTTCAATACGCAATGAATTCAAATTTAAAAAAGTAATGCACACGATACATCATTTACTCGTATACTTAAAACTGACGTATAACACAATTTACGCCTAAAGCGTTTCTTAATTGCTTCGATCTCATCGCCGTGGTTGGTAGTACCTGTCGTTAGATAAATTTCTCTACCGATCCACGTTCGCAA